TTTAATAACACAGTTGGGGTTATTCAAACTATTCACTATATTAGCATCAATGATTTGACAAATTCATTAATTAAATGACAAGATATATTTGCACTAATGACAAGAAATTTTGCTTTAAGTAAACGTGTGCTAAATAGTAGTAAGAGGTTGGCATAAATAAATATTGTGGGAGGCTTGCCTAACCTACAATTAGTGCATCTCCAATATTAATATAAATTGCATTATAAATATTGTCATATAAGTTAGGATGAACAATGTCTACATAAGTTTTTTCAATACTGATTATGTCTAAATTACATGACAAGAAAAAAGTAGATATTCTTCTACATGGAGTAAGTCAGGTTATTTTTTCTCTTCTTTTTCAATTCTATTACTTTATCTTTTCTCTTTGAAGATGAAATTTGAATTAAGTGATGCATTAGACATTATTGCCACGTAGAATTTCTATGAATAGAAAGTTTTTGTTATGTGGGCTTGCTTATTTCAGAGGTTAGAGCATTGCAATGTGATGGTAATCGGTTCGATTTCAATAGCCGACTTTTTCTTCATTTTTTTTTATTTTTTCAATTTAGATATCATGTAATATTCCAATCAATATAACATATTGGAGATGTTCTTAGGTAAGTATTAGAACGTGCCTTTAATAACTGCATCATTGTTTCAAGAATGTGAGAGCTCTCAAACACATGAAATAGTTCAATGTGCTCTCGACGATTATTTTTGAGATGTAGATACTTTTCCTATTCAAATAATTGAGGTTATTTGAGGGGGCTAATTTATTTTTTATTTTTGAAAATTTAAACGTCTAATCAAAGCGAATGGACACCTTAGTTGGTAATCATACTTTGATTGGATGACAACCATACTATTCTAGTGTCTGAAGAAATAGTTATTTTTATGATTGAGTGACGGAAAAAATTTAAGTATAGAAACTGTAAATTCCATTAATTGTATATAATTTATCAGATCTAAATCAATCACTTGATCAAACTGGAATAAATGGGTTGAATATCTGTATTGGCTGAACTTATGAGCATTATATTTTAGTCACTGAACTTAATTTTCTTAAGAAATTGGTACTAAAATTTTAGTTCATTTCGTTAATCACCATACTCAACTCCGCCTATGAAAGTAAAGGAACAGAAATCCCAAGTTGAATAATTTTTGGAGCCAAGTAGTAATAGAACTTGCACATGAGGATTTTGATGAGATTATGATCTTTATTCTCCAAAATCTGATTTATAATTCAATGATTTATCAAACAAATTTTATTTTATTTTGTTGTAAATTCTAAAAGTAGGTTCAATTTTTTTATTAGAATTTTATTTCCTATGGAGTAAACTATTCAACTTAACATTTAAATTTATTTTACCGATGACTTCGGCCGGGCATGTAAAAATTTCATCAATTTAAAAATAAAAAATAAAAAATGAAAGACTAGTATAATCATTGACGAGATAAGAAATTAAAAGCTGCGTAAATTGAACAAATAAAAATAAAAAATTAAGTTGAACGAGCACAGCCAAGACCCGAGTCCCTAACAAGTTGGAGTTGGACCATGCAAATATACCACGGCCACGAGTTCCACACAAGAGTTATAGTTCCGTATCCACATCTCGATATTCAACAACACTAGTCTATAGGTGCACCTACCCACCCACTCGCTCGCTCGCTCTCGTCACCACCAAAGTGCTTTTTGTATATTTATATCTCCATCCCTAAACCCTATACACATAGGTAGTCCTCGGAATGATTTTGGAGATGGAGTTTTTCATTCTTGCTCTAATTTTCTTCTCGCAATCGAATTTAATATTATGCTTCTCTGCAAAGCAGTCAGCATTGATTTTGCCACTCGAAATTTCTACATCTCCACCAAATAAAGTATCGTTCCACCATAATGTTACCCTCACCGTCTCACTCACTGTTGGGTCGCCTCCTCAGCAAGTCACCATGGTGCTTGATACAGGTAGTGAACTCTCCTGGTTACACTGCAACAAAACTCCCACAACCCCATTAACCTTAAATCCTTCACTCTCGTCGACATACCGTGCAATCCCGTGTTTGTCGCCGACATGCAGAACCAAGACACGAGATTTCACTGACCCTGTTTCTTGTGACTCGAAAGGCCTCTGCCATGCCACTCTCTCTTACGCGGACAGTTCCTCCTTTGAAGGTAATTTAGCCTCAGACACGTTTAATATTGACAATTCAGATCTACCAGGGACGGTGTTCGGATGCATGGACATGGGATTCAGCTCCAACATAGAGGAAGACTCCAAGACCACCGGACTAATTGGCATGAACCGGGGATCTTTATCCTTCGTTTCCCAAATGGGGTTCTCCAAATTTTCCTATTGTATTTCGGGTCATGATTCATCGGGGATTTTGCTCTTGGGAGAAGCTCATTTTCCTTGGCTAAAGCCTTTGAACTACACACCACTGGTTCAAATATCAACACCTTTACCATATTTCGATAGAGTTGCGTACACAGTTCAACTCCAAGGAATATCAGTATCTGGTAAAATTCTTCCTTTGCCGAAATCCACGTTCGAGCCCGACCACACCGGTGCCGGCCAGACTATGGTCGACTCCGGTACACAATTCACGTTCTTGCTCGGCCCTGCTTACACTGCACTGAGAAATGAATTCTTGAATCAAACTAGAGGCGTTTTAAGGAAATTAGAAGATCCCAATTTTGTGTTTCAAGGGGCTATGGATTTGTGCTACAGAATTGAGCAGAACAGGAGAGTTTTACCTCCATTGCCAAGTGTGAATTTGATTTTTAGAGGAGTGGAAATGAGTGTTACTGGGGAGAAATTATTGTACAAAGTTGGAGGCGCAAGCAGAGGAAGTGATTCAATATATTGTTTCACCTTTGGGAACTCAGATTTGCTGGGTGTGGAGGCTTATATTATTGGACATCATCACCAGCAAAATCTGTGGATGGAGTTTGATCTTGCAAATTCAAGGGTGGGATTGGCTGAGTTTAGGTGTGAATTAGCGAATCAAAGATTACGACCCTAAACTTACTTTCTTTTTATTTTATTTTATCCTGATAAATTTATTATATTTTACTTTGGGAAAATAGTAGAAGAGATCCCCTGAACTTTGATACGCATTGCACCTTGTCCCCTTTATTAGCATTTATATCCCAAAGAGAATTGATAAGCTTGTCTACAAAGAACTGAAGTATACAAAATGAAAGATTAAAAGGAAAGAATGTAGATGATGTATCATTGAACTTTTAGTGAAATTTAAATTTGACCACTCAACTTTGATTTGTCACAATTATGTTCCTTGAAATTTAGTGAAAGCTCAATTTGCTCCCTCAACTTCAATTAGTTTTCTAATTACCTCAATCGAGATTTCACTGAAACCACAATGACCAAAAATGAAAATTAACCCAATTAACCTTTGTTTCACGCTAAGCCGCCTTAGTCCACTAGAGTTTAGCTATGTTATTACATACTTACTTGTCAAGGTGTAATAATGTTTCGAGGTGTTTAAAAATATATATGTTGCTGCTTTCCTTTTTGTTATAAAAATGTGAGGTATCGAGATATTAAAAATATATTTTCAGAAGGCATTGAATGGAGATCAAAGTTTAAGCTATATATGATAGTAACTAAAAATATATTTTAGTGACGTTGGGGCAATGTCTACCACTCTACTG